CGATGTTTCATTCTCTTCCTCCTCTCTCCTTTCCTCGTAGGCGTCTGCAAGCCGCCTGGGAGGGAGCCACGCCCTCCTCCTCCTGGGGCGGGGCGCGGCGGTGTCCCCTCTAAGGGCCCTGCTGTATTTGGTCGGGAGCCTGGCCAGGCCAGTGTCCCGGATGTGGAGCCTGCACCTGCTAAGTCTCTCGGTTGGGGCTAGATTCGACTGGCCCGTTTCCCTCTTTCGCAGGTGCCGAAGAGCGGCAGTTTGCCCCCAGCCACCGAGATCGCAACGCCCCCCATCGCACCCCAAGCCCAGGAGAAGAAGCCCCAGGTGGCCTACAAAACTGAGATCATTGGCGGGGTGGTGGTGCACACCCCCATCAATCAGGTGAGCCGGGGATGTCGGCGTCGCATTGCCTGGGGCTGAGGGCACGGGCCAGCGGAGACTGCTCCCCAGGGGGGTGCGAGCAGGAGGACCCCGAACGTGCCGTGTGAGGGCGGGAGCATCAGCAACCTCGGTGGTAAAAACCCGGGTCAGGCAGCCCCCCCAAAACCATGAGACCGTAAAGTCGCAGGGCTTTGAAGCCAGACGTGTTTGCGATTCCTGTTCGTGCCTCCTGGTGTCTGAGCCTTTCGGATTTTGTTGGGTCCCATCTCGCAGCCTTTCTCTGCAAGCAGGAGGGCCGGAAACTTGTTTCTTTTCTTGTTTTAAAGGAAGCAGAGACTCTCGAGAGCCCAGGAGCCTGGGGCTGTAAGGAAAGTCTCGTGATAAAATCACAAGAGTTGGCGATTCGGTTCATAGTTCACTTTCACTCCTGGCCTTGCTGGCTGCAGCTCTGGGGACGAAATACCCCCGGGGGCAGGACAGAGCGGTGGGAATCTAGCATCTCGATGAGCCTAGCTCTGCAGTGCTTCACGCCGAGTGTGAGCGGCAGGTGCTTTAAAGAGTCCCGAACAGGGCACGAGCCTAAATCACACCCCTTAGGTCTGCCTGGCCCCTCTTTCACACCCCTCTGTCTGGGGAGAGCAAGCTCTGGTGCAAGCCGTAACGTTTGCATCCGGAATTTAGTGTGAACCCTTCCCATGTGCAGCTTGCTCCAGTTTTCAGAGCTTGGTGCTAAATCGGAGCCATTTCCAGCGAGTGAACTTTGGTTGGTCACGGGGGAGGATGCAGGTGCTTGGGTTTCGCCCAGGATCTGTCAGCCGGAGAACCTGCTGGAGCCTACCTCTGACGTTGAGGCTGTGGCTGTGGCTGTCTGACCTTTTCTGAAGTAACCCGTCTGACTACACGCTTCTCCTCTTGGTGAAGTTGGTTTGCACTTTCAGTTCAGGAAATCAGGTCTGTGCCTGTGAAACCTTCCCGCCCGGGGTTTATAAATAGCTGCACACGGCACTTCTCTCTTGCTCCAGAGAGCAGTGAGCCGACGGGGTCCGGAGCCACGTGCAAAGCTGCAAACTGCCGGCTCACTGCACCTCGTGTGTCTGTTCCCCACCTTCTGCAAGGCCCAAAGGGCTCTGAGCCAGATCACCTGCCTGCTTGCTCCCGCCCCAGCGGCTGCCGCTCCCCAGAGAGCAGGGAGCTGCCCAGGAGGAAGTGTGGGGGAGGCCTCTCTTTCTCCAGGAGTCCCTGTCTCCTTCTCCCTTGGCCCACGGGGCAGGGCACGGGCATGGTGATCGGCAACTTCCACTTTTTGGTGGGTTGGCAGCCTAATCTCAGCTCTTATCAGTCACAGGCCTAAAAACAGACTGGAGAGTGAGGTCACTGCGGGGTTCCCCTCGGCAGGCGCTTTTAACTCTGCCCTGCCCGTGCAGACGTGGGTGTGATTGCAGCGTAGGAACTGGCGGGGTTGGATCAGACCCAGGATCCATCTAGACCGGTCGCCTGTCTCTGAAGGTGGCTCCTTCGGCAGGAGATGCAGGAGACCCGATGGCATGATTATGGGTAGGGCCCTACCGAAGCCATGGGCCGCGTCGGCCAATTTCACGGTCATAAAGATTTTTGAAAATGGTAAATTTCATGATTTCAGATACTTAAGTCTCAGACATAAATCTGAAATTTCACTGTGTTGCAATTGTTGGGGTCCTGAAAAAGGAGGGTATTGCAAGGCTAGATTGTGTGTGTGTATGTGTAGCTGGGGGGAGTGTGTGTGTGTGTGTGTAGCTGGGGGGGAGTGTGTGTGTGTGTAGCTGGGGGGAGGGTATTGCAAGGCTAGATTGTGTGTGTGTATGTGTAGCTGGGGGGAGTGTGTGTGTGTGTGTGTAGCTGGGGGGGAGTGTGTGTGTGTGTAGCTGGGGGGAGGGTATTGCAAGGCTAGATTGTGTGTGTGTATGTGTAGCTGGGGGGAGTGTGTGTGTGTGTGTGTAGCTGGGGGGGAGTGTGTGTGTGTGTAGCTGGGGGGAGGGTATTGCAAGGCTAGATTGTGTGTGTGTATGTGTAGCTGGGGGGAGTGTGTGTGTGTGTGTGTAGCTGGGGGGGAGTGTGTGTGTGTGTAGCTGGGGGGAGGGTATTGCAAGGCTAGATTGTGTGTGTGTATGTGTAGCTGGGGGGAGTGTGTGTGTGTGTGTGTAGCTGGGGGGGAGTGTGTGTGTGTGTAGCTGGGGGGAGGGTATTGCAAGGCTAGATTGTGTGTGTGTATGTGTAGCTGGGGGGAGTGTGTGTGTGTGTGTGTAGCTGGGGGGGAGTGTGTGTGTGTGTAGCTGGGGGGAGGGTATTGCAAGGCTAGATTGTGTGTGTGTATGTGTAGCTGGGGGGAGTGTGTGTGTGTGTGTGTAGCTGGGGGGGAGTGTGTGTGTGTGTAGCTGAGTCTTATTTCTGAGCTGCTGCCTACAGAGCTGATCCCTCGGTCAGCATTGCCACCTTTACTTCTGCACAGCTGCTGGCAGGGTGCTGCCTTCAGAGCTGGGCAGCTGGAGAGCAGCAGCTGCTGGCCAGGAATCGAGCTCTGAAGGCAGAGCTGCTGCCTGCAGAGATGGGGCCTTACTCAGCGCTCACCACGTTCTGGCCGCCCAGCGCTGGAAGCAGCAGCACAGAAATGTGGGCGACATGGGTGGGGCAGGGCGCTGGACTCGCCTCCTGAGGTCTCCTCCAGCCTGAGGATTGTAGGGTTCGAGGTGTCACCACCCTCACTTGTGCATGGCTGCTGGCCGAGCTGGGCCCTGGCAGCGTTACAACCACTGCTCTCTCCTTGCCCAGCTCGGAAGGCAGCACAGATGTAAGGGTGGCAACACCGGGACCCTCCTGAAATAACCATGTGACCCCCCCTTTTGGGCCAGGAGCCCCAACATGAGGAACGCTGGTCTGTGCAGAGGGGGTAAAACCCCCCAAAAGGGCAGATTTCATGGGAGGACGCCACGTGTCAGGGTCCGTGCCGTGTTTGTGGCGCTGTACATTTGGTAGGGGCTAATTCTGGGGTAATCTCCTTGCGGGAGGAGTGTCTCAGGGGCCCTTGTGCCCTGAAGCGGGGGGCTGAGTAGCCACCTGTTCTTGTAGCCCTGCCGCGAGGTGGGTAGTCTCACTCTCCCGGCACATGGCTAAGGGCGGCGGCTGGCAGGAAGTAGCAGAGTGAGAGAACGGTGCAGCTCCATCCTGTGAGAATCAGAGCTCGAACTGGCTCGCTTCTCCGAGGGAAGGGGAGGAGGGATTTGACGGTGGCCTCGTGCCTGCGGAGGGAGATCCGTGATCGGGAGCAGAGCTGTAATTCGGCCAAGGCGGGACTTAATCCGGTGGCTTGACACTGAGGTCAGACAAATTCCGACCAGAAGTCAGGTGCAGGGTTTTTATCAGGGAGGGTTGCTGTGGCTGGGGGTCTCCCTCACTTCTAGGCCGTGTTGCTTGGTTCTCCAAGAGAAAGATGTTCTGGCCCCATGCAGGAGAGGCTGGGCAGGGTGTCCGGCCTGCGTTGTGCAGATGGTCAGGCCAGATGAGCTAATTAACCCCTATGAATCCATATGGATAATCCCGCTTAGCAGCCGGGGGCGGGGGCGGGGCAGGCCCTGGCTGGCGGGATGGAAGGCGCCAGAGAAGCGCAGGATGGTCTGCGCGATGCCCCCTGGAACGGGGGTTCTGCGTCTCCTCTGCCTCCCGCGGGACGCCGGAAAACAGGCCCAGAACCGGAACGGGTCCCGCGCTTGCTCAGCCGGGCTGGTGCCGTCTCCGTGCTGGTTTGCGGCTCTCGGGGAGGACAGGCCTTGAGTCCCTGTGTGCAGCTCCCCTGGACTCCCACGCACGGGGACGCTCGCAGGCTGCGGCAGGAGAACCGGTTCTGCCTGAGGCGCCCCAGCCCTGGCAGCTGGCGCTGGTGGAGCAGGCACCCGGCTGTGGCAGCGAGCCCGGAGCCTGCCCACCTGTCTCTGTTTGGCTGCAGGGCGCGGAGACGCCCGGCCCAGCTGCGGCCAGGTTCCCCTCCGGCCGGGGTCGCGGGCTGTGCTTCCCGCCCGCGCCCAGGCCCGCTTTTCGTCCCGGCTTCGGGAAGTTCTTGTTTGTTTCTGCGGGTTGCTCTGCCAGGCGCCGGCGGGCCCCAGCCCTGTGCAGCGTGGGCGAGGCCCGGACACCTGCAGGGAGAACCGAGCTCTCCCTCTGACTCAGTGTGTTTCCTGGCACTGCAGCCCACCCCCGGGTGGTCCCCCCTTGCCTGGCTCGGGCCCCAGGCTGCTCTGTGGAGGGCGGGGGGGGGAGGCTGAGGGAGGGCGGGCGCCAGGCGCGGAGGCCTGCGCTGTCTTCCCGGCGCCTCTGCTCCCAGCCCGCACCCCGATGCCACTTTGCATCCTGGGCTGGGGCAGGGAGGGATGGAAAAGCCTGGTCCCCGTCGCTGTGAGCGGGCGCCTGGGCTGCGGCACAGCCAGGACCTGCCTTGGGTCAAGTCCCCTTGTTTTTATTCAGAGGGAGGGCGGGCGCCAGGCGCGGAGGCCTGCGCTGTCTTCCCGGCGCCTCTGCTCCCAGCCCGCACCCCGATGCCACTTTGCATCCTGGGCTGGGGCAGGGAGGGATGGAAAAGCCTGGTCCCCGTCGCTGTGAGCGGGCGCCTGGGCTGCGGCACAGCCAGGACCTGCCTTGGGTCAAGTCCCCTTGTTTTTATTCAGTGTATTTTGGGCCTGGAAAATCCGAGTCCCGCCGCGGAGGGGGAGGGCCGGGGGCTCGGCGTGTCGTT